ACGTTTTATAGAACCATATTTTACGTAAAATACATACGAATTATCATGAGATCACGTTGAATATACAGCACAAGTTTGTGCAGCTCATGTGAAGAGGAAGTTTCTTAAAGGCACAACAACAAAAAACTGTTAATTTTTTAAACTTTCTTAGCATTAAATGCGGATGATATATTATATCATATAACCCTTTTAATCATACAAAATATTGTGTTCACAACATCTTTACAGCTCCAAGTAACAGTCCAGAGATCACTGTGACATAATATTATGTTTACATGGAAGAGTTTAAAAAGAACGTGCAAAGTTGAGAAATCAATATACATGATGAATACATTTAAAATGTAGTGTTCTCTTGACATTTGTTTTAGTTACAAACTGAGGCACAGTCTAAAGAACAATTAAATCATCAACACATCACTTCTCTGGATAGTTTAATGACATACTGTATTAGAAGATTAGTTTATCTAAAAAAAAAAAAAAATTGGATCAGAAGGTTTCAGGGTTTATTCTCAGAGAACAGTTAACTAAATTACACACGCCAAAGTATCAAAAGTTATTTATGACTTCTCAACCCAAATCACTATATTATTTAAACCAGTCATAAGTACAATGTACAACAAAATACAATAGCATTTTGTACAATTGTACAATTTATTCAAGTTTTGCATTCAGAGGGTAATACATCAAAACCATCACAGATTATATACGCATTTTATAATTAAAAATACACAAACATTGAAATGGTATAATTTTTAGTAGTAGTATATTAGGGCATGACAGGGGCAGTCATGGCCTATTGGTTAGCGAGTCGGGCTTGGAGCCCCAAGGTTGCAGGTTCAAGACTCAGGTCCAGCAGGGATTGTAGGCACCAAATATTTCTTATAGGTGAAAGATCTGGACTGCAGGCAGGCCAATTTAGCACCTGGACTCTTCTACTACGAAGCCATGCTGTTGTAATAGCAGCAGTATGTGGTTTTGCATTGTCCTGCTGAAATACACATGGCCTTCCCTGAAATTGACCTGATGTCAATTAACTGTTGCTAGATGTTCTCCCAGCTGAATATTTTCAAAATGTCTTGCTTTTTCAGCCCTTTGTTGCCCCCGTCCCAACTTTTTTGAGACCTTTAGCAGGCATCAAATTTGAAATGAGCTCATTTAGTGGATAAAAGTGTACAATTTCTCAGTTTAAACATTTGTTATGCTCTCTGTGTTCAATTGTGAATAAAATATTGGCTCATGTGATTTGAAAGTCTTTTAATTTTCATTTTATTCAAATTTAAAAAAACGTCCCAACATTTCCGGAATTCGAGTTGTGTATATATATATATATATACTAAACAGAGTCAAATGATGTAAAGTTTAGTATCCTGTTAATTAAATCAGTAGTCAATCATCGGGGACACACACAGCACACAAATGGCGTTGTTTCCTGAGAAAGACCCTCCAAAAATTTAAGTACAGCAAAGATAAAACCACTCGCCTCATGTTGCAACAAGTGAAATGTTACAAAATCCTCATTTGAATTGATTAGGCTACAACCACAGTTCACAAACTCTGGAGGTATTTGAACTCTGCATACAACAGTAAGCCATACAGGACTAGAGCATGTCGCAACCTGCCCTCTCCTTTAATCAATCATCCATACGATCACAGTCATTGTGGAGCCCACTGATAAGAGTGAGTGTACGGGGGCTGTGATGTTGATTGAAACTGAATCATGTGTCAGTAACCTATCAGGAGTAGACAGAGGGGTTTATATGACGTATACTGTATATAAGCTTCCATGGACCATCTAGATTTTGTTGCTCTATCTGGGAGAAAGACTGCAGCTCCACCATGAAGCAGTGTGTGGTATTGATGATGACCTTCCTGTGCGTCCATGGGGCCCCTGTGGACGTTTTGGCCCCAGGATCCTGCCAAGATGCGGTAGCTAGCGGTGCTGCTGCTGAAGCTATGAACAAAATCAATCTGGACCGCACAGAGGGCTACGTTTTCAGCCTTGATCGTCTCACCAATGTCCATCATATGAAGCATGTGAGTCACTTTCATGGATACTTTTACATTCCATATTAACATTCACTATTAAAAAGAGCAATCATTTAAGTAGTCATTTAATCTCAGATATGTTTCTAGGGATCCTATAAGGCAACTCAATCCTTTAAGAATTAAATTAAATTCTGCATCAACTGAAATTATTTGGTGAAAGTATATTTTAATCTGGTGTCTGTCTATTGGGATGCAATACCTTCGTATTTTACATATAGATTTTTTACAAATGTTTACAATGTTTTCTTTTAGGGTGAGACAGGAATTGTCTTCTATCTCACATTTGATGTTTTGGAGACCAAGTGTCATGCCATCAGCAAGAAAAACTGGAGAAATTGTGAAAGCCGAAACCCTGAACAGTACCCAGTATGGTTTGATAATTCTTAAAAATATCTTGTTAATGATGTTTGTTCTTCATTCTAACAGCCTTTTCAATCGACAGGTCTATGGACAGTGCAAGGCCGTTATGTACATGAACAGAGTTCACAGAGTGAGCCGCCTGTACAAGTATAGCTGTACCGTGAGACCAGGTAATAACCAATCACCAGCCAGCTGTTTTTTATCATCATATGCTTACAGAAGGCAAATACAATAAAATAACACTCCCTCGGTAGTGCCTGCCTCCAAAATCAGAGAACGGTGCCCAGATTGCCCTGTGCAGCTCCCCGAGGATCATGAAGCAGCCTTGAGGACAGCGAAGATGGGCATGGAGAAATACAATAATGAGAGTGCATTGGCAAACTACTTTGTTCCTCTAAACATTACAAGAGCTTTCTCTCAGGTGAGCAAGTTACTTAGGATGAAAAGAATGAAAGAAAAACACTATTTTCATCACTGTATATTGATATGATCATCTTTGTAGCTTCACTTCGGAAGATTCTACAGTGTGGAGTTCACCATCCAAGAGACGGTCTGCTCTTCCAAAACCAATACTGCTGATGTCTCTGAATGTGAGGTCATGGCATGCGAGTTTGCGGTAAGTGACAAGGAGATGCATACAAATTCTGTCATCATAAGTTGTGTTTGTCTTTGCCAATAAAAAGGAATGTTTATCACACGTTACTGATCTTTCAATGTTTAGCACAAAGGATTCTGCAAAGCCTCTCACACTGTCACAGCCACCGGCGAGGAGCACCTCAGTGTTCAGTGCGAAATCTTTGAACCAGAGGTAAGATCACATATTTCCAGCAGCATTGAATGTATTTATGATCAAAACAAGCCACTTTTTTCTTAAACGGCTAATTCACTCTTCACACACATATGTATATATATATATATATATATATATATATATATGTATATAATGACTATAGAAAAAAAAGAGAAAAAGGGTAAAACTTGTGGATGTACGATCTATAGTTTTCATAAAAGTCATCCGGTGAACTTTTGCTGACAAACAAATGAGCATATCTTGGTGCAGTAACACGGAGCAAGAGTACACATTGCTTATTTACATAGTGTTGGGGAGTAACTAGTTACATGTAATGGAATTACGTAATTTAATTACAAAATAAATGTAACTGTAATCAGTTACAGTTACTGAGGGAAAAAAAAGTGTTATTAAATTACAGTTGCTTATGAAAATGTTAAATATTACAAAGGGGGTTAGGTAACACTTTATAATAACTTTTTATGAATAAATCATTAACAAACATTACATCATGTTTAACTAATAATTTCTTAATATATATCCACATATCTAGAAATATGAGATAATGTGCTTGTTAATGTTAACTAATGAACTTATCAAACATTACCAAATGAATAACAGATCATTGTTTAATGTAAATTGTTTACAAATGTCATTAAACTTTCAATTCATATGATCATGCATTTTTTTAAAAATCGTCAAATGATTTTGAGACATGGTTTACAATGATTAAAAGCTTCATTAATAAATCATTAACAAACATTATATAATGCTTAACGGATCATTAGCTAATGGTTACAAATGTCATTAAACATTCAATGCGTTTTAAAAAATCTTCAAATGATTTGAACAGAAATTACACAATGATTACACATTTATTTGTTAATGCACTGTTGAATGCTTAGAAGTGTCATTAAACTTACGTTCACATATTAGCTAATGCTCATTTTTACATGTACACATGTTCTGAAAATATAGCTTAATTATTAATTTTAAGCACTTCACAAACTATTCATGTTAATATATTCATTAATATATTCATTATATTCACTCATAATCACAGCCTGTAAAGGTCGTATATTTGGTCTTTGTTTGTTGTGTAGACTTCTATTATTTGCACATCTTAAATAATTTATTAATAATTTGTCAATGTTTTTGCAGTTCCCAATCTAAAGTGGAAACTAATCTTCAATTGTAAATGTTTATAAACATTTACTAATCATTAGTACCTTCATGAGCAGTCATTTTGATGGCAAAATGTGTCTAAAATGACCGGAATTTATCTTATTTTCACATCTTCACAAATTATTTATTAATCATATGTTCATGTTTTTTTGCGGTACCCAATCTAAAGTTGAGACTATTCATCATTTGTAAATGTTTATAAACATTTACTAATTTTTTTGTATTTTTATTGGCACTGGACTTTTAGCTACTGTAACAAAGTTCGTGTAAAGGGTGGTTAGTTAAGTTTAGCTAAATGTTTGGTAAAGACATATCACACATTGTAATTTGGGTGCAAAACATGTTTGTATTGCCTCAACACTTATATTAGTATACTACTGTACAGTATATCATTAAACAGAATATTCCTTGAATCACACATAAACAGGAGGGAGAAAAAAAACAACAACAAATTTTCAAGCAAATACTTAATTTATCATTTATCAAAACAATGCAATATAAACAGATTGAATCGTGTTGCCTTATAGTAATCAAATTGACCCTGTACACTGCTGACCCCTTAACCAACCCTTAAACCAACCCATACACCAAACCTGTCCCTAACCTTACCCGTATCACCCCTCAACAGCAGCAAGTGTTGTGCATTAACAAAAGCTTTTAATCATTGTATAACATCTGTTAAAATCATTTGTAGATTTCCAAGAAGTACATGATCATATGACATTTGTAAGCATTTTAATCTACATGAAATGTTAATTATTAGGTAATGTTTAATACATTTATTAGTAAACATTAACAAGTACATTTTTTTCATGTTTCTAGATATCTAGATATGTATTAGCTAACTATCCGTTAAGCATTACATAATGTTTGTTAATGATTTATTAATGAAAGATTATAAAGAGATAAAGAGCTCTAGTCTGCAGATGGCACTGTTAGATGCCAGTGTTTCCTGTCATAGCTATTCAAAGATTTGATTGCATTATGATTTAAAATGTGTATTTCCCCTCAGAATGATCTCAATTTAACAAGAGGTTAATTCAAGTGATGAAGGTTTCTGAAAGCCTGACAGTAATCAGTGTTGAGTCCTACTGTAAGATTAACCCTGCCTGCTTTAAATGTTTCAAAATGATTAACAGTTGAAAACATTTGTTTAGAAAAGTAATCAAAAAGTCATCAAATGTAATCAGTTACATTACTTTAATAAAGTAATTGAAATAGTTACACTACTTATAACATTGCAATCTGTAACCGATTACATTTCAAAAGTAACCTTCCCAACACTGCTACCGACATTGTAACAATACAAAGCATTACAAACAATAACAATACAAAGCTGGCTAAAAATCAGCAAAGTTATTATTATATACTTTATGGCATATTCTTATTTTGATTGTAATTTATTGTTGTTTTTAGGCTGCTGAAGAAGAGAAGAAAAAACATTTGATTGGAGGTGAACTGGATCACAGCCATAGCAGCACAACTGGCTCGGCTACTGGACACGACCATGACTATGACCACACCAAACTGCTCGCACATAAACATGACCATGAACACACCTCAGGCCACCACCACACACACGAACATGGCAAGGGTCATGGACACACCCACTCTCACGATCATGACCATGCACACGCCCATCACGCCAAAGCCCATGAGCACGGTCAGGACGAGTGGGAGCACCATCACCACCAGTATGGTCACAAAAATGGCGAGACCCATGAACATGACCATGAGCAGGTCCTGGACCACGAGTTGCCGTACCCAATCTAAAGTTGAGACTATTCATCATTTGTAAATGTTTATAAACATTTACTAATTTTTTTGTATTTTTATTGGCACTGGACTTTTAGCTACTGTAACAAAGTTCGTGTAAAGGGTGGTTAGTTAAGTTTAGCTAAATGTTTGGTAAAGACATATCACACATTGTAATTTGGGTGCAAAACATGTTTGTATTGCCTCAACACTTATATTAGTATACTACTGTACAGTATATCATTAAACAGAATATTCCTTGAATCACACATAAACAGGAGGGAGAAAAAAAACAACAACAAATTTTCAAGCAAATACTTAATTTATCATTTATCAAAACAATGCAATATAAACAGATTGAATCGTGTTGCCTTATAGTAATCAAATTGACCCTGTACACTGCTGACCCCTTAACCAACCCTTAAACCAACCCATACACCAAACCTGTCCCTAACCTTACCCGTATCACCCCTCAACAGCAGCAAGTGTTGTGCATTAACAAAAGCTTTTAATCATTGTATAACATCTGTTAAAATCATTTGTAGATTTCCAAGAAGTACATGATCATATGACATTTGTAAGCATTTTAATCTACATGAAATGTTAATTATTAGGTAATGTTTAATACATTTATTAGTAAACATTAACAAGTACATTTTTTTCATGTTTCTAGATATGTGAATATATATTAGCTAACTATCCGTTAAGCATTACATAATGTTTGTTAATGATTTATTAATGAAAGATTATAAAGAGCTACCGGGGGCTAGTCTGCAGATGGCACTGTTAGATGCCAGTGTTTCCTGTCATAGCTATTCAAAGATTTGATTGCATTATGATTTAAAATGTGTATTTCCCCTCAGAATGATCTCAATTTAACAAGAGGTTAATTCAAGTGATGAAGGTTTCTGAAAGCCTGACAGTAATCAGTGTTGAGTCCTACTGTAAGATTAACCCTGCCTGCTTTAAATGTTTCAAAATGATTAACAGTTGAAAACATTTGTTTAGAAAAGTAATCAAAAAGTCATCAAATGTAATCAGTTACATTACTTTAATAAAGTAATTGAAATAGTTACACTACTTATAACATTGCAATCTGTAACCGATTACATTTCAAAAGTAACCTTCCCAACACTGCTACCGACATTGTAACAATACAAAGCATTACAAACAATAACAATACAAAGCTGGCTAAAAATCAGCAAAGTTATTATTATATACTTTATGGCATATTCTTATTTTGATTGTAATTTATTGTTGTTTTTAGGCTGCTGAAGAAGAGAAGAAAAAACATTTGATTGGAGGTGAACTGGATCACAGCCATAGCAGCACAACTGGCTCGGCTACTGGACACGACCATGACTATGACCACACCAAACTGCTCGCACATAAACATGACCATGAACACACCTCAGGCCACCACCACACACACGAACATGGCAAGGGTCATGGACACACCCACTCTCACGATCATGACCATGCACACGCCCATCACGCCAAAGCCCATGAGCACGGTCAGGACGAGTGGGAGCACCATCACCACCAGTATGGTCACAAAAATGGCGAGACCCATGAACATGACCATGAGCAGGTCCTGGACCACGAGCACAAACACAGACATCTCCATGAGCACGAGCACCACCACCACGATCATGAGAATCAAACTACAGTTAAGCGTCCTGTTGGCATGGTCAATGTCCTTCCTCCCATGGATAAGCCCATGACCCTTCCATCCTTCCCTGACAAACCCGCTGCAGGACCAGAGCAGCCCTCCACCCTCCCGTTCCACCCTGACCCCCAGATACCAGGACAAAGGGAACCCACCATCCATCCCTTCCCTGACACCATGTCCCCTGAGTGTCCTGCACAGTCTAACATCCAAAACGGACTCCTCAAGCAGGTCATCAGTGAGGATCCGCTCTTTAATCCCACTGTGTAGAGTCCTTTGAATAATTAATGTAGAGTGTAATAAATACTGCAAAGGGTAATATTATGCTTTGTGCATTAAAGCATGTTTGGCTGTCATTGCTAGTCGTGTGATGTTTATTTTCAAATGCACAGCATTCATCTGAGCAAAATCTAACCTGCTGAGATCAGGCATGTTCATTTATCACATCTGTTCCTGAGCTTTCACTGTTTAGCACAAACTATTCTGCAAAGTTAATAAGTTTTAAATGCAGATAGATTGATTTCTCCTTCTCTAAACTGTTTCTCAAGCACCCAGGTTCTCTCATTGCCACTGCTGCTACGTGAATATGATGCATCAAAACACTACGGAGTCACACAGGATATAGATTAACATGGCAGAAGTAGAGCTGCATCTTTCAAAGTGAACTATCTGCACAATGCTGAATTGCAAAGCGTCATAATTTTCCCATTAGCCTACATCATATTGCATTGAATAGCATTGTGTTAAATCGAATCGAATCGAATCGCACTGCTTTGTATTAGGAGTGAATCGCATTGCATTGGTAGCTGCTTTAAATGTATCTTTAATGTATCATATCGGTAGCTATGCATCGAGATGCATATAGCATTGGCCTGTTATGGAGATGCACATCCCTAGTAAACACAGGTCACAAATTAACACGGGCACATATCCTTGATTTCGCCAGCTGCATAATGTCACGCCGAGAGTAAAATCCTGACTTCAATCCAAATATCTGCAGCTGAACCAGTGCAGTTAGATAGCTCAGTGTGTTCCTACTGTCATCTCACAGGTTACTGCACAACTTTTTTTAGCGCGTGTTCGAAACTCGTGCCAAGCAGACTTTTCTGTTTATTTTCAGCCATTATGGGCTATCATACCAATAATTTGTCATATTTACAAGAATACCAAAATCATGTAATAAGTAAGTTTGCATTTATTAGACAGCTTAATATCACGTCAGTTTGTGCTGTCAGACTCGGCAAATCTACGGGGGTCATCCCATCACATCTGCAGTGGAGGACCAGAAACCGGAAGTTGGTCACCAGTTAACACGGTCACCAGTGTTGTGTATTGCATTCCAAGTGTTGCACATTCTGTCCTTACGACACCCCGTACTGGTTCTCTGTAGGGCTGTCAAAATGGCTGAAACACTAAATTCAAATTTTTTACTTAAATATTATCAATATTCTAATTATATTCTAATTTAAAAGGCATAATTTCAGTTGGGGGGAAAAAGCTATTGGCTTCTCTTCTGAGGCCACAAGAGGGCGCATCGAGTAAAAAATATTATGCACGTTTCTTCAAAGCATAATAAAATAACAAGACTATCTTTGCATAATGTTTAAAATAATGCTTATAAACCATATATAATTAGTAAAGTTGCTTAAACAATTATATGTATAGTTTAATACAAAGGACCGAAAACCAATCACAAATAGTACTTTCTTCGTTTAAAAACTTGAGATGCAGTGGGATGGGGAAAACCGCCATAAAGTCTTGAGACATGTTTTTTAAAAGTTGAACTTGCATTAATTTTACATGGCTTTCTAAACATGCGGCTCTCTTCACTTACATCGTCATTGCATTTCGTGCGCCACTTATAAGGCTGCCTGAAGGCCTGGGTATACTTCACTTTCCGCATTCCGTTCCGTCCCGTCTCGCGCACAGCCGCGTCCGCACAGCTTTCAAAGTATACTCAACCGCGGATGAGTGCGGACAGATGAGCTCGACACAGGAGCAGTACCACCTACTTGACTTGCGCTCTTTCTCAACTTCCACCTCGCGCATGCACTGTTGTACGCGGATCGTCCGCGAGCCCTCCTAATAAGGAAATTGTCGCAATGCGGACGGTGCGCGGATGTGGACGGCTGAAGTATACTTTGGCCTTGACACACACCTAAAATTTGAATGCAACGTTTTTGCATTAGAATGTGGATTTCTGTCAGGACCACTATCGTCAAAGATGATTGACAATTAGCATACAGTTTGGATTGGCGGTATGGTTCTGTTCTGGGCAAGAACTCCCTGCGCCTCCATGCAGCCTAACAGCAGGGAGAGCAGCAATAACCACCCAGGTTAAACAGAACAGAACTAACATAAATGTATTGCAGATATTGTTAAAGTTCAATAATGTTATGTACACATTTTAGAATTAGTCTGATTCAAGGAGAATCAGAAGGCTGAATCCCGACTGACAGAGGAGGAGTTGGGGATGTAGGAGGGTAATTAGCTATTGAGCAATGCGAAAACTGCTGATAATACTGAGGGACCTTATATATGAATGCTTTGATAAGTGTCGTATTCCCATAGGTAGATGGGGATCAGCTGAAGGTCAGCTGATGAGAGCTTGACTAACGTGACCTGCCAGAACTAATGCTACGCTTGATTTTTATTTTAAATTCGACGAATATTCGAAATTGAATTTTTTTTGACAGCCCTAGTTCTCTGTATTATGGCACATGTGCAGTAAGCACTGAATGGTACCTGTATACCAGTGAACAGGTAGTAAAGCTGCATTGTTAAAAAAGCTTGTGACAATGTCGTCGTTTAAAGCAGTGCACTGTCATCTCGTGAAGACGTAACAAAACTGGCGATGAGGATAAATGCTCTCTTGTCTTCCGCGACACTCCAAGATGTAGTGTTATTCAGCTGTCAGCGGCTGCACGCGTTCGTCGGAAGCTACAGGCAAGACACATGTGCGAATCTCATCGCAATGGGAGAATAACGCAAACAGAGAAAAAGAAGCGACGGCTGCACATCACACTGCACAAGACGACACAATCCGGCACGGGAGGAATGAGTCAGCTACAAAAGAGTGAGTGGAAAAATACACTGATAAATAGCCTGGTCCAGCCCAATAAGCCTGGTGATTGCATATTTAAGGACATTGTTGCATTGCTCCAAGAACATTATGCACCAAAACCCTTCATCATAGCTGAAAGATTTCGCTTTCATAAACGCAATCAGTTACAGGGAGAATCGATTGCACAATTTGTTGCCATATTGAAGTGACTGTCAGAACACTGCAAATTTGGCACAGCACTGAATGACACAATAAGAGACAAATTTGTCTGTGGACTGCATAGTGAGACAATTCAAAAACGACTCCTATGCGAAAGTAATCTTACATTAGAGCGAGCAATGGACATCAGTGTATCCATGGAAATGGCTGCAAAAGAGGCGCAAGAGTTAAGCGTATCCAGTCAAGTTCACAAAGTATACATTAAAAAAAATAAAACAGGATGGCAAAAAAAGCATGTTACCGCTGTGGAAAGAGTGGTCATCCAATACAGGAATGCTGGTACAAAGACTGCAGAAACTGTGGAAGAAAAAGGCACATTAAACGTGCATGTCAAAGCAAAAAAGCTGAGAGTAAATGACAAAGAAAATCCAACTAAATATGTGGACCCAAAGAAAGGTTATGTCAGAAAATCTAAAAAGAAACACGTACATTAAGTGGAATATACTGGGAAACAATAGGATGAATCTTCAAATTCTGATGGCTACTGGGTGACACCACTGCTGGATTACCACTGTATATTGTGAACGGTAGTAGTCACACAGCTCTAATGGGCCGAGCATGTCTAGAGAAAATAAAGTTAAATTGGCAGGACGTGCACTTAGTAGCGAAAGAGTCTACCAGTTTGCAAAACATCCTGAGGAAGCATGCAGAGGTGTTCGGAGACGAACTGGGGAACATGAAAGACATCACTGTAAAGCTAGCCATTAAGCCTGACAGTAAACCTAAGTGCCTAAAAGCTCGCCCTGTTCCTTATGCAATTAAGCCTAAGGTAGAAACAGAACTAGACCGCCTGGAGGAAACTGGAGTGCTTAAGAAAGTGAGTGTTAGTGAGTAACCGTGAAACAGTACCCCTTGCCATTAATTGGAGATCTTTTTGCTTGATAAGCAGGTGGACAGAAATTCAACAAAATAGACTTACATCATGCTTACCTTCAAATGCAGGTAGATCCTGTTTCCCAAGAGCTGTTGACCATCATGACTATGCCTATATAGATATCAGCAGCTACCTTTTGGAGTAACTTCGGCTCCAGCATTGTTCCAGCATGCCATGGACCAGATCCTGAGTGGCTTAAATGGAGTACAGTGTTATCTCGATGACCTGTTAATCACGGGAAAAGATGATGAGGATCATCTCAGGAACCTGAATACAACACTGCAGCGACTAAAGGAGTATGGCCTTCGGGTAAAGAAAGACAAATGTGAATTCTTCCAACCCACCATCGAATATCTCGGACAAGTAATTGACAGCGCTGGTCTCCATACAGCATCATCAAAGGTAAACGCTATTGTGGATGCACCATCTCCAAATGCAGTCAAGCTGACATCTTTTACTTTAAGGAAGTGCAGAGTGCGCCTGTCACTGCAGCTCAAGTAAAACGTTTCACAAGAACTGACCCAGTTTTATCAGAAGTTTCTCTCATGGATCTCTCATGGCAAGAGAGGAGAGATGACAGACAAGTTCAAACCTGGTGCGACACCCCGTACTGGTTCTCTGTATTATGGCACATGTGCAGTAAGCGCTGAATGTTACCTGTAAACAAGTGAACAGCCCAATCCGGGCCATTTGCATGTGCAATATAGGCTATACTCTCCAAATATTACTTTAATCTTGTAATTGCTACGATTTAATTCTCGTAATTTTGACTTTATTCTCAAAATATTTTGACTTTATTCTCGCAATTTCATCTTTATTCTCAAAATATTTCAACTTTATTCTCATAATTTTGACTTTATTCTCAAATTATTTTGACTTTATTCTCATATTGCTATAACTTCACTCTCAGAATTTTGACTTTTTTTCTCAAAATATTAAGACTTTAAGAATCTGGTAATCTTATGTTTTTGTTTTAACGTGGCACTTAAACACAGTCGTATATTCATCAAACCTCAAACACACTGCAGCGTCGCGATTACTTGTTTAGAGCACTGGCACCCTGTCATGAAACAATCACATATGTTTACCAGCCACTGCTTTCTCAGATCGGTTTACGTAGGATTAAAACTTCAAGTTCCGTTGAGTT